CGATACATTATCATACCGGCATTATAAATGAATGTTGTTGAAACACCTTTACGACAAAATTCTTTTGTTCGATCATTTATGCGATAATTTGGATTATCAACTGCTGGATATATTTGATCATAATATGACCAACCATCAAACGTAACAATATAACTACCACGTGCGCATGGATGAATATCATCATTTTCAATCAATTCGACTGTCATTGTTTTATCAATCGGTGCAATTAAATATATTACACATTTTGTATTGAACATTTCGGTTGATACATAAACCGAATATGTACCTTGTGTACTTAATTCAATCAATCCATCTTGTGGTTCAATAATATTTAATAATTTTTTTTCATTATTTGTTAATACAAATTTAACCAATGATTCAATGATGATGATGATCATCATCATTATCAATGGCCATTGATTCATGATTTTTGGCTTGGAAAATTCTTTCAAGTGCAAAAAATGCAAAGGCAAACCAGCGGAAAAACAAACCACCAAAATTCAATTCACAAAACCGAAAAACTTTAAATCGAAAGTTTTTATAGGGAAAATTTCAAATTCGATTCTGAAAAATTTTCAAATTCGATTAGATTTTCATCGATCCGATTGTTTCAAGAAATTCATTCAAATTTTCTTTTTGTTTTTCCGCTTTTTGAATTTCATTATTTCTTCTGTTTTTGGTTGGATGGCTGCATTTCTCTTCCATCAGAATCAAGTCGATAGCTTTTTTTAACAATTTGTTTCTATCTGCGGTACAGTTAATTGATCAAATTCAATTAGCTGTAAAAAACAAAAAAAGAATTTTTTTTGTTTTTGTTTTGTAAATTGATTTGTTTCTGGATCTATCGAATCAAAAAATCGAATCAAATCAATGATTTTCTTCGAAAATCGAATTTCAAAGTTTCATTTTTTTTACCAAATAAATACTTTCGAATCGAAAGAATTTTTTGAAGTGAATTTTTATGTTTGTTTTTTTTCTTTGGTTTTCTCAAATCTTCCTTTGCATTTTCATCAAAGAGAAAGAAATTAGCTTTCAAGCCAAAATCATGAAACAGAATCGTTGGACATCAATGATAATGATGATTACCATCATCATTTTTGAATCATATGCATCAAAAAATAATGTAAAAAAAACATTAAATATTATTGGACCAGAAGATGGACAAATTGAATTAAGTCAACCAGGTACATATTCTGTTTATGTATCAAATGAAATGTTCAGTACAAGATGTGCAATATATTTAATATCACCAATCGATAAAACAATGTCAGTTGAATTGATTGAAAATGATAATATTTATCCATGTAAACGTGGTAGTTTTATTGTTACATTTGATGGTTGGGCATATTATGATCATACATATCCCGCAATGATTAATCCAAATTATCATATAAAAGATCGTACAAAACCATTTTGTCATTCAGGTGTTTCAACAACATTCATTTATAATGCCGGTATGATAATGTATCTGTTTAAATTTGGTGGTGGTTTTACATTTAAATTAAAATTTAATGATAATCAAAAACCACATTCATTATTTATATCTGGTTCGGAAACAAGTGAAGGAAAAATACGTTTTGATTGGTCAAAAAATTTAGGAAATAATAATAGTATTTATATTCTGCAAACACCATTTACAAAAGGTCGTTTTATTGGTCTTTCATTAAATATAACATCAATGAAAATTGGTTATGAAAATAAACCAATTGTACAATTACCATATTCGGTATGTTTATTTTTTGATCTTTTCTTGGTTTTTTGTAAAACTAATTGATTTTGGTTTTTTATTTGGGAAAAAATAATAATGATTAGTGTAAAAGATTTACCGAAAATAAAACTGTAAATTATGTTGAAATTGGTGGCTGGGGTGATCCACCCGGTTTTCATACATGGGATATGACAGTTTCAACTGAAATTTGTAGCCATGTTTTTTGTAAGTTTTTTTTAACACGGTTGTCTCAAATCACATAATAAATACTAATTTTTGATTTTTCCCATTATTCACAGACGATAAACCAATACCAATATTTTGTCCAAATATTGGTATACGTTTACATATTGATGATTCAAATGCACCTGACCAGTATATTGAATTTCGTTATCGACCAATATCAAAACAATTTTATAATTCATTAATAAAAAGACCAGTGAAATTAGTTTGTCCAAATGTACCATCAGATTTATTGGTTTCTGTTCCAATGCGTTTAGATTCTACAGGTAAAATAAAATAAATATTTCAAGTTTTTTTCTTGTTGATATTAACTTTTTTCTTCATTTTTTCCGAAATCAAGTTTGTCAACAATCAATTCAAGAACCGGGTTTTTTTATAATGGATATTTCAACTGAAAATAGTCGTAAAGAATGTTCAATCTATATTCATGCACCGGCAAGTTTTACTATTGAAATCGAAATGGATAATTTAAATTTAGGTGATCCATCATCCACTGAATGTCAAGATCCTGATTTTATTAATTTAGTTGATGGTTGGTATTATGATCAGGAATTTTTACCACATTCATCCGATCATAAAGAAGCAACTGACAATCGTATGTTGAAAATTTGTACGGAAGAAACATTTAATTTTTTAAAAAATGGTGGAAAAAGAATATATCGTACATCACAAAATATTGGACAAATCTATTATCGTCTTTCAAAAATTGGGCCACAATTTTCATTTGCAATAAGATTTTTATTCGTTAAAGAACCATGTAATGTAATATATGCTATTGATAATGTAATGGACGAATCAATTTATTTAACACGTAATTATCGTCAAACAAAAATATGTGCAACATATTTTGTTAAACAAATATGGAATCAAACAGAAAAACTGTATGGTATATTAGTAAATGTATTAAGTTATAATATTGGCGGCAAATATGATCAAATTGATGAACAAGATCTGATAAAACATTCGAAACAAGCCTGTACAAAATGTTTAACAAATGATTGGGCTGAAATTGGTGGTGGTGTTATGTTTGGTATATCTTCGATAATGCATCCAGATAAATTTCATATCTGTAACCAAGCACCAATCAAAACATTTCCATTTAGTTTGATTTTACGTTGTCAAAATATTGCTATGCGTTTAATATC